CTTCCAGTACTTGAAGGGAGCGGATGAACAGGAGGGGGAATGGCTGTGTGTGAGGGTGGATGGTGATGGGACAAGGGGAATGGTGTAAAACTGAGACAGGGGAGGTTGAGGTTGGATGTAGGAGGAAGTTTTTCACACAGGTGGTGAGGCACTGTTACAGGCTGCCCAAGGAGGCTGTGGATGCCCCATCCCTGCAGGCATTCAAGGCTGTGGCTCTGGGCAGCCTGGTCTGCTGGTTGGAGACCTGCACACAGCAGGGGTTGGAACTGATGATCGTTGTGGTCCTTTTCAACCCAGGCCATTCTCTGAGTCAATGATTCTTTTGTGGCAGAAGTTCAGTATTTCTGGTTCCATCTCTAGGTGCTGTGCTGGAGGTGGGAGCAGCAACCTGAGCAGGTTGGCTGGAGTTCCTCTTGCAAATGTGCTGTTCCTAAAGAAAAAGGGAAGCTCAGGGAACGTGTGCCACGTGGGGTCCGTGTGAGCTGCCCAGAGCTGTTAGCTGAGTTCTTATCTTTATGGCCTTTGGAGAGAGACGGGGAGGTATGAATGCAGTGCGAAGGCTACGGGTGTTTGGAATGGGGGAGAGGTTGGCTGTCTGAAGCACTGATTCCAGTTTTATCTGGCAAATTCTGGAGAGAACTGCGTAACCCTGAGGTCTGAGAGTTGCCAGCAATCGCTTTGGACGTAGGTTTTTTAATTAGGAAGCACGAGGAGCACACGGCCCGGTGCCCCTCCGGTTTCACATAGCTCAGGGCTTCCATCACGGCACAAGAGGTGTTGAACTTGAGGAATTCGGAGCAGACGAGGACATTGTGGTCCCTAAAACGAGGAGTCACACACAGCTTCAAGAGGAGATCAGCGGTATGGGGCTCTGTCTGCATGTGCCTCACCGATGGCTCCTGCTGAGCTGCCGGAGCTGCTGCTGATGCAGGGGCGAGGTTTGGTTTCTTCTGGAGCTTTTTGGACCTTTCTGCCTTGTGGGACTCACGCCTTCTGCTTGTCCTTAAACGTCAGCTTTGTTGTGTGAGGCTTTGCTTTGGTGCTGTGCGTGCTCCTCTGGGGTTTCCTTCCCCAGAACCGGGGCTGGAGTCACTTGTTTGTCAGCGAAGGCAGGGGGCATCCCAGCAGAGCGCTTTGGGCTTGTGATGTGGAATAGTGATGGAAGAGCCATAAAAGCATGACGACAGCGTGTGATCAGGGTGGCTGAGATGAAAGCCCTCAGTGGATTTAGTGCTGGTGGAGGGCAGCTTCTCAGCAGGCTTGTAAGGTGAATAATCCTCATGTCGGGTGTTGCATCCAAGTGCTCGGCCTCCCACCAGCTCAGGTTTGCAGTGTGATTTGTGGAGATGGAAGCATGGAAGACAAAACGTAAAGGAAATTGAGCGTGAAGGAAAAGTGAAGGTAGCTCTGCAGCCTGCTGGATAGGAGCCTGTTTGCATAGCCTGGAGATTGGTGTCAGGGCACAGAGAAACAATGCTGTCAAATAAAAAACCGACACAGACTTCAGCAGCGAATTCATAACTTTTAGGTTGGCATCGCTGTGTTTGGGCACAGAATCCTGGGGGGCAGCTGGGGTCTGTGTCAGATGTGAGAGCAGCAGTGTGACAGTGACCCCGTGTCTCTGGTGCTCTAATACCCATGATCTTATCGTTAAAGGATAAGGAGATGACAGCATCGCAGAACGCCTCCAAGGGGGAGCGTGCTGGAAAGCAGCAGCAAAGCCACCCAGCAGAGGCAGTTGAGATAGCAGCTAGGAACCTGAGACAGAAGGCAGAAGAGTTCTGAAGTCAGCTGGGTTAGTCCCATGCAAGCAAGCGTTTCCATAGTTCAAGGTAGAGCTGAATGCGAGGAGAGCAAATAAAAATGCTGCATCCTTGTGCCTCCTGTCTGTGTGCAGGGGTTGCCCTGTTTCACAGTGCAGCTTCTGCCCGTGGAGCGGGGCTGTCGGTGGGCACGCACCCTGCTGCCCTGCCCGGATGGCTGCTGTGTGATCGTGTGCTGCTGCTCTGCTCCGCGTGCTCCCAGCAGTTCCGGGAGGTTTGACTGCCTGTGCGCAGTAACAGCGTGCAATTGTCCGTGCACAGCAGCGCTCCTCTTCAAACATCGATCTTTTCCCAGATTTCATTGTGAGTGAGGCGCTTTTCTTTCCCGGTGATCTGTTCAAGTCCTTCACGCGAATGTTCCAGGAAGGATACGAAGCCTCGTTGGTGTGAGGCCAGCCCTGAATGCGGGTCCTACCTATCTGGTAGGCCAGTCCTATCTGCTGGGTCCGCAGAGCCTTTGCATCCCCATCTCAGGGGGTGCTGCTACCAGCGGCCGTTTTGCAGAGCAGTGCAGTTCCGTGAAGCTCCGAGAGGCTCAGTGAGGTGAGGGAGACTCTTAGTTGGCGAGCCAGGTGCTGTTTTTTCTTGGATAAATGGTTGTAAATGTGAAAATCTGCCACTTCCCAGTGTGCTGCCAAGGTACCGCAGGCACGGAGCCTGTGGGCTGCGTGCAATAGGCCAGGGCTTTGCTCCCAGAAAGCTGTTTACAAAGCAATCACCCCAAGGTGCCTGCGTGACTGGCAGCTGTGATTGCTTTATCCCAGCTCAGATCCTGCCCTGTTTGGGCTGCACGGTGATGGCAGTGCCAAAAGCAGTGAGAAAGTTTCCTGCTTGTAGCCAAAAAGTGATTTGAAGGAGATGATAGGGCCTTATCACAGCAGGAGGATTGTTGGGAAGTGCTCCTGCCTGGTATTTAAACTGGATGGCTGTTTTGAAATTACAAAAAAACACGTTTTAATTTGGAGTCCATAGCAAAGCCTCGCTGCGCCCGGTCCGTGCCAGCCAGCCGTCAGCTCTCTGAGCACGGGGCTCCACGCTTTCTCCCCTCAGATAAAGATTTGTATTGGTTTGAAGAGCTTGGAGATGCATGCTCTCCACTCGTTGTTGTTGTTGTTGGTGGTTTTTAGCACGTCTGTAAATGCAATGAAGGAAAACACGCCAGCTTTCCTAAATCTTAAACTAGTGGCTCTCTGCTCTGCAGCCCAGTGATGAAATTAAATGAGGAAAAGCTGTTTGGGATGGGTGAGATCTGGCAATGCCTCAGGAAGGCGCAGAGGTGAGGGGCTGTAAGCTGGGAGGAAAACAGTGAATTTGGTAGCTGTGGTTTCTTCCCACGTACGCTTTGTCAGCATTTCTGAGCTCAGAGGCCTTATTCCATTCCTGAAAGGGGTGAGGAGGGGACCTACGAGGGGTGCAGACCCCTCCCCTGGCCACACATCAAACCCCTTCCCCACCTGCCGCAGGGCAGCGCCTGCCAAATTCCTCCCTTCCCTCCTGCAGTGTGCAGGGAATCGTTCTGGTTTGAGTCTTTGCAAATGAAGGCAATTTGGTTTTGGTCTTCACCAGCGGAAATGGGGAAATTTGGAAGCTCTGGGAGCGCTGTGGATGGCGGTGGGCGATGGGATGCTCCGAGTTCAGCTGCTGCTTTGCACGTAATGTTCAGCAGTGAGAACCTGGGGTGCACACAGCAGTGCTTTTGGTGGCGTTTTTGTCTGGAATGGTTTAAAATGTAAGTATTTTGAAAATAGCATTCCCTTGACACGTGCTGATTACAGGATATTTGAGGGATAGCTTAAAGAAATGAGCTCTTAACGCCCTGCTGCGTGGTTTTCTGCACTGTTTCGAACCTGTAACAAAGCTGTGTGTTAAAACTATGATAAACAGCATGCAGATGGACCTCAAGAACCTGGAAGAGGTGGAGTGTGCCTTGGCTGGGGGATTCCAGTCCCTCCTGCTCCAGCACTATCTGTATTTCCCGTATTGGATTGGAGGGTTTTCCTTGCTCCTTCCTTTGCTCGAGCCAGGATGGGCTGCGTGCTGCTCGTGTTGGCTGGAGCGGCTCCTCAGCTGTGCCTTCACCCACCTTTGGGGAGTTTGCCCGTGTCCAGATGTGGCTCTGATGGGGAAATGAGTGATTTCCAAAACGTTTGTGCCATTCTGGTTGGGTGCCAGAGGAAAAGCGGGGCCTGGGGGGCCGGGAGGACGTCTGTGTGCTGGGGGTGCGTTGGGCCAGTGGAGAGCTGGGGTTGTGAGTGGTGATTAAAGCATGAGTGGCTTTAATTTGTGTAATTCCCACCTGTGTGTCCTGCAAAGGTCTGTCAGCGTGGCAGAGATCATACAGAAAAGCTCACTTAGGGATTCTGTGCAGCACTGGAAGCTGTCTATTTTAACAGGGTCATAAATGCCTCTCTGTGTTCTCCTGGGGGATTTTGGTGTGCTGACACCTGAAACACTTTAGTTTTTGTGGGGCAATGTGTGGTTCTGTAACGCTTGTGGTTGCAGATCTCTTTGGGTTTCATTTCCTACCTGGTGCAGTGGGAAGGATGAGCGCAGTGAATTTCCCATCCTTACAGCAGGCTTTGAAGCAGCGGGAAGAGGAAGAGGAGGAAAAGCAGGCGGCACGCAGCGCTGCGCTCCCTGTGCAGCCACGTCTCCTCAGGGCTGCTCCTGCCCAGGGCCAGGGCGATGCCAAAAGCTTGCAGAAGGGAGGCAACTGGCTGTAAAGAAAGCAATCCGTAACAGTCAGCACAGGGGGAGAGGGCGCTTCTCTGGATGAACCCTCGCAGCAAATCTCCGGCAGTTCATTGCCGTGTCGCTGGACCTGCAGTTTTCCATCTGCGTTTTGCTTTGCGCTGTCGAGATGCTGACATATTTGTGCGTGAGGGAGTTTGCTAAGGAGCTGCAAATGCCACGAGTCAGCAGGCGTGGGCTGTGCCGCTGCTCTTTTCTTCTGCCTTCCGAAAGGCCTCTTTCTTTTAAGTGCTGAACCCACCAGAAGGAAGTTCCCTTCTGCTCCGGTGATGCTGAGTTTTCACCAAGCCCCACTCGCTGCTGCCGTCGTTCTCCCCAGCGTTTGGGGGCTCCTCCATCGTTGGTACAGCAAAGCTCCGTGTCAGAATGCGCTTGGCTTTAGGATCGCCTTCGGGTGCCAATAGCCCCGAGATTGCCCTGCTGTTAAATAACATGCAGTAGCTTTTCTGTGTGTGTGCAGTTAATAAGAATATGATTAGAGAGCGTGGAAGATAATAAGGATGGCATTTAACCAACAAAGCCAGGAAATTCCAGACTGCAGCTCGCGTGTTTCGCTTGTTGTGCCTGGGGTTTTGTTTTGTGAGGGTGTTTTGCCCACCTTTAGGAATACTCCAGAAAAGAGTTGTTCCTACGGCGCTGGGGAAGCGGATCAGATCGATTCCCTGTAACGCTGAGGTTTCCTCTCCTCTCCATGCGGTGACAGCTCTGTCCACCCACCTTACACACCTTTTCCCCTCTTATTCACGTGCCAATTTTCAGCTTAGGAGGAGTTTTCCAGCAGGTTGCGTTAGCTGAGAATTGGTGTTTTTTCTTTTTCTTTTATAACCTTTTAACTGCAAAAGGCCACAGAGCCTTTGCTGGGTCCAAGCCGCTGTGGAGCTGCTCTCTGTTTCTGCCCTGAGGAATGCAGTAAATCAGGATTTGAATGCACAGCAAGAGCACACACCTACGTGTGGCTTTCTGAATCTTCAGCCCTGTTAAAAGGGAAGGTTTACATAAAGCATCTTTGCACTGGTCAGTTTTGTTCCCTTCTGGGAAGACCGGCTGTTGGAGGGGTTTGGTGTGTTGGCTTTGGAGGCTTTTACGAAGACTTGGGTGATTTTTAAGGGCAGGGCGATCTCTCAGGGAACACAGCGGGGCTGCCAAGCTGGTTTGCATTTCCCTCAAACTGAATCACACCATTGCTGCCTTTGCAAGGTGGAGCTGAAGGCTCTTCAGGCTGCACAGAGTGAACAAGGCTTTAGCAAAGGGCATTGGTGCTGGTTAAAGTCAAGTGCAGAGAGCTTCCTCTTCCTGGAGAGCTGCAGTGGTGCCGTTCTGTTCCTTTGAAAGGAGTTTACTTTATTTGCCTGAAGAGGCTTTTTGTTTCGTTTTGCATGGGCAACATCTCCTAATTACAGCGTTTTGCTCCGGGAAGGGCTGCAGCGCTCTGTGCAGGTGGGCAAGAGAGGAGCTTTCTGTTTTCTGCTCCCAAACAAACTCATTTCTTCTCCTAGCTCTTTGCCTGTGATTTTGCAACGAGGAGCTGCCCTGAGACGCTTTGAGATGAGAATTTTCTCCCCGAAGCCGCTGAGCCTTTGGCACACCTGGACCTGCAGCATCGTCCGGCTGGCTGTGGGGGCAGCGCAGCTCCTGGCTTTACTCACAGTTATTGATCCATTAACCAGCAGGCCTGGAGCACAATTAGCTGTGTGCCAAACGAAGGCTTTCCCCCCTCAGGGGCGCCTGCCATCGGATAGTTCCCAGCCAGCCCCAAGCTGCCTCTGCAGGCCAATTATTTTATCGTCTGTAATGCGAGCCACGCGTGCTGTTGGTCTCATTTCCAGATTGAGGCCGAGGTGCTGATCCGGGCGCTGCCGACCCCAGCTGCCAGGAGGGATCCATGAGCAGACAACCTTGGATATGGACATCGTCCTGTCGGATTTTGTTCGCTCGACAGGGGCAGAGCCAGGACTGGCCAGAGACCTGCTGGAAGGTACGTACGGCCGGGGACGGGACTGGGAGGAGGCTGGTGTGGTCTGAGCGTGGAAAGGGCTTGCAAGAAGGGTGGGGAGGACCTGCGAGGATGGAAGTTGGTGTCCAGCTGGTGTCATCAGCAGCGGTGCTGGTGAAATTCTGCCCTGGTTTCTTGTTACACGGCCATCAGGTAATGAATTTCAAGTGTTTGGAAGGAGAACGCGTTGAACAGGAGCGCAGCACTGCTTCATTCAGCTTCTGTTCCCGCATGTTGTTCGCTGCCAGCAGTGTAGTAAAACTTTGGGGTTTTTCTTGTCAGCATTGCTATCGCTGCTAGCGAGCGCTCTGAAGGCCGCCTGTGTTTTCAAAGGGGGTAATTATACAGGCAGAGCTGCGCTTTTACTGGTATATCTTGTTCTGCTTGTGAAGGTGGTGTGATTATACCAGTATAAATTGCTGTTTTGCTGGTATCTGGCCATCCGTGCTGCGTGCTGCTGAGCCGCTGACCTCTCCTGGCAGCAGCCCCTGCAGCTGGCTTGCACAGAAGTGCACCCAGGGCTCATCATGGGGCGCTTGCTGTCAGCAGGCCCAGTCTGTCGGGTGCCAGGAGGCACTGAGCGCTCAGGAACGGAAGCCTCAAAATGCTGCATCATCTGCGTGCAGCCTCGACGCGCCGTGCTGGCGGCTCTCCAGCGCTCTGCCTGCTGAAAGGTGTGTTTGTTTGCCCTAAAGCGTAGCACAACATTGACATTTTTCTCAAAAACTGCCGAAGATGGGCGACTTGCTCCTTAATGACCGTGTTTAGTTTCAAGGCTGTAGATAATTGGTTTTTCACCTTCTGCTTGTAGCTATGGGCAGAGGCAAGGAGAGGCCGCCAGGTCTGAATTTTTGGGCTGTAAGCTTTCTTGCAAGCAGTGCCTTTGGGTTTGTGTTGACACGAGGACGGTGACTAAATGTTGGCCTGTGCTAAATGCTGGAGGACAGAAATGCTGCATGTGAAGCAGAGGAAGCTGCACTTGGCAGTTGGTCCATACTTAACCAAAATGCAATTATATGATTCAAGACCATGCTTGCTGCGATACTTGAGCTGTATCATCACCCTCTTAACCTTGGAGTAAAGGTAATGCTGCGAGTTTGGCTTTGCTTCAGACGGAGCCTTGGTTCCTCCTTCTTCCAGAGGCTCAAGTGAGGCACGGCTGTGAGATGGGAGAGGCGCTGAGGGCAGGGCGTGTGGGGGGTGGCTCGTGGCCCGCGGCCCCCTCCATCGTGGCAGCCTGCGGCCCCCTCCATCGTGGCGGCCTGCAGCCCCCTCCATCGTGGCAGCCT